AGAAGAGGAGACGGACAAAGAGGTGGTGTGGAAGAAGCTGCGCGTGGTTCCTTTCTTCTCCCGGGTTGCATCATCAATCCGTTTCCCGGATGCAGACTGCGCGCTGACACGAGGAGACCTCCACTGAGCCGCTGCCCCGGGGGAACACCCCTAAATGATGAGTTTACATTTCCCTTCGCATCCTCTTATCGTGCGTCTGTGACTCTTTTTCTGTTCTTCCCATCCACACACATGCACCACCTACTGCTCCGCCCGCGTCTTCCAAATGACCCCTCAAGCCCATTGACGTTTCAAACAGAGACCCTGTGTTGTGCTAAGCCTCTGTGTCCTCGTCCCACTGCAGCTCGTCCTGTGAAGCTCAGTGCCGAGGACCAGACCATCGGTTGGGTTGTGATGTCCTTTTTAAGAGCCTCACAGAGCTATTGTGTGGAGACAGTGGGAAGGTCAAACCAGAGAATGTGGGTGGAGAGGAGGATGGAGGCAGGGCGGCGGAGGGAGGAGTGCAGCGTGAGGACGGCTTTCCATAAGACATCCTACGCGCAACCACACGTGTAAAAAAAAACAACAACAACTGAGAGACAGATAGAAAACCAGAGGCCTCGCCAAAGCCCCTCTCAGCTGCTTCCAAGTCCCACTGCATTTCCCCCAGGGTGCGTGCATGTGTGTGTGTGTGCGCGCGTGCATGTGTGCGTGTGTGTGTGAGCAGTAAATTTCCCCCGCAGGCAGCTGCATTTGGCAGTTTGCTGCTGCACGTGTGTGTGTTTTTGGAAAGGGAACAGACAAAAGAAGCGAGACGGGACTGAGGAATAGATTGATATCTGTGGTTTCATCGTCCCGTGGCTTTGCTGGGGTGCCATTGGTATCCATGTATCTGCCCAACGTTGGCATGTATCCCTGCATCTGCTCTAAAGAACGGTTTTAAGGATGAAGAAAACAGTGAGCCTTTTATATAGGTAGTTTGCGTTAGTATCATGGGAAGGGTTGTGTATTGTGTGTTCCAACAGCTGGTTGTTGGATCCCCTCTACGGACAAACATCTGTCCCGCCGAACTGTTCTTGAGCAGAACCAGGAGTCTGCGCAGGCGCCAAGGTCACTGCCCCGCAGCTGTGCCTGACCTTTGACCCTATGATGGAGGCAGCAGAAAAAAGACAAACGTACTTTTTACACATCAACGTTTGAACATTTTACCTTAAATTTTCGTCTTTCTAACTAGTGGGTGATCAATCTCCAAGTCGATGTCATTTTCTAAAAATGGATATTCAGCATTTTGGCCTGAGCCGCTTCCAGGGGATCAGCTCAGACCTCATCGGCCGACTGCAGCTGGTTTCCCTGCAGGAGGGTGTGTGTGTGGGGGGGGAGCGGCTGCGTTCGCCTGCTGTACTCTGCCACCGTTTGCAATAAAAAGCGACGCCGCTGTTAATCCGGAGAGGAGCTGCCGGCTTTTCTCAGGCGTTGCTCCCTGTTGCATGGCTATTGCACATGTCCTCTGGGGACAAGTCCTCCTCCCCCCCCTCTCTCTTTCTCTCTCTCTCTCTAGCTCTGTGTATCCATTACTTGGACACTCCCTCTCTCTTTCACCTTTTCTCTTGTCTTTTCATACCCTTTCTGTCTTCTTCTCACTTGCTGCAAATTTTGTTTGTATGCCCCCCCCCCCCTCCCCCTCCCTATTCTGTGGCAGCTGGGTGTACCGTGGCTGAACTGCTCCTCCTTGTGTTTCCACTGGCACATCACAAGTCACCAGTTAAAAGCAGCCACTCCGGGTCACGTACCGGAATAAGCTGTTTGGCCCGGTTCACTTTGGTTCCAAGAGAGAAAGGCTGTTTGTTTCAGTTCAGCTCTCAACTCTGTTTCAAGCTGAATACGCATAACCAGGGGGGGGGGGTCTGCGAGGCGTCATTGCACAAACTCTGTTTTTTTATTCTCAACGCCCTGTATCGTCTAACAGAAGAGAAGTTTGTGCGTTGATGGGGAAATGATCGATGGCCGTGCTTTACCGGCAGAGGGCGCTGTTGTCACAGTAACTTCCACCCCCCGCGGCTAAACGTGACTTTGACCCGATACCCCCTAAAATCCCCCCCCCCCCCCCCCCCCCTGACACAATGAAGTATATCTAACAGATGTAAGTGACGTGTGCGCGTGAGGAATAAATCCCCCAGGAGATGGAAGGTTTGCCCGCTCTGCTGGCGTGGTGCGCGTCTATATCAATGCGAGCGGCATCGGACGCGCTCCTGCCCACCATTTACCCGCACAAGCCAACTTGTATGATCGCTTTATTCATTTTATAAAGGAGTAAGTAGACACACAGCGATATTCATTTAAATTGTCTGAGGTGATTTCTGTTATTTTGCGGAGGTGGTGAACTCCTGGGTGACGCTTTTTTCTTCTATATTCATTTTGTATTTTAAACCCCGGAGAGGGATTCCTCTGCCCCTGTGCCGTTGGTTGCCTCTGGACTCTTTCAAGAAGCACTGAATCGGATCAAAGAGCCTTTTCCTGCGCAAGTCCGACGCCCAGTTTGTCATTAGCCGGGATATGAATTGAGGACACTTCGCTCCAACACGCCTTTTCTTTGCTCCACGACTTTTTCCGGGCTCCTGTGTGTGTGTGTGTGTGTGTGTGTGTGTGTGTGTGTGTGTGTGTGTGTGTGTGTGTGTGTGTGTGTGTGTGTGCGTGCGTGCGTGCGTGCGTGCGTGCGCGCGCTATGGGGAGGCCCTTTATTGTTGCCGACCAAAGAGGGGATTAGTCGACTTTGAGGCACTCACCTTTTATTCAAACAAATTATTCACTTCAGCTAATATAAGGAATTTTGACGCACGTGAACTTTTGGTGGATGGGGTTTTTTTTTGTTGCAAAACGTTCACCCCCCCACTGCTCTACTCTAAAGCACATCGTACCCACTTCCATGACGCATGCATACCCGACTTGGTTTTATATTCATCACATTTGAAAGCAGCCTTACAGGTGCTTCCAGTCTTGCATCAGCATTCAATTCACTGCAGACATGTCCCCAATAACCATTTAGTTTAACTCTGCGCACGCACACGCAACCCATAGCGTCCCATGCGCGCGCAATGTATGGCGAGGGAGGGAGAGGGCAGGAGGGTCTCTGAGGTGAAGTGGGGGTGAGAAGAAACGGACTTGTAGCAAGAAAGCAAGCGAGATGCGGTGTGGTCGTGGGGGGATAGAATGGGAAGGGAAGTAGTTTTGCTGCTCAAATAGCGTTTAAATCTCATTGGTAATCGTTCCTCAAGACAACAACGGGATCACTTTTTTTAACATTGTAGTTTGGTTTCATTGATGCATTTTTATACCCAACGGGTGAGGGAGACATCAACTTCAGCACTTTGCGTAAAACTCAACTAAACCATTTTACGCACGACTATGAACTGCAGCTTTTGACCTCTTGGATTGTAAACTTCGGCCTTTTTGTTCCCCTGGTCTTTTTTTTGATGCCAGGTGTATTGTATTTTTTTTAGACTTAGGCGGACAAGCGGTTTGCCAGGAAATAGAGAACCCACAAAAAACACTCGAGTTGGACTCGAACTCACTGAATCGCCAGCACTACAAGCGCTTGCGTCCAGACCCTCGCGGGACCGAGCAGGGCGCCGGTTGACTTTTTTTTTTTTTTTGAATGCCCATGTCTCAACAGCAGAGCACTTTGCCCAGCACCGGCTGTGAGGCGGTGACGCGGCGGACCATGGACAACAGGCCTGTCCGAAGAAAGCGGATCGGTGCCGTTCGACATCTGCTGCTGGCAGCCGCCTTCCTCGCCTGCAGCTCCCAACTGCTGGTGGTGGAGGCCAACTCGTGGTGGTGAGTCACGGTCCCTCCTGCACGGCGCGCTGATTGTTTGCTGGTTTTGGGGGGGGGGACTCATATAAAAAAAAAATAGATGAACCGTGTCCTCCAATTTGGGGTAAAAATCAACATTGCAACATTGAAATATTTGAGGTATTTCTTTCGTTTTATTTTAAAATCCTGAAAACTTCAATCCAATAAGTTAACTTTGTCATATTGCTTGCATGCCGTTGATAAGATGACAAATGGAGTTTGTGTTGCCTCTTGTGTCTCTCTGTATTTGTGTGTTTTGGGCGCCTTAACAGTGAATGGAACAAATGTGAGGGCTCTGTCACAATATTTACCCTGGCTGAGCCCCAAATGGCACTGCATGGCAGCCTGCTGCTGTGCCTTTAGCCGCACCAATTAGCCATCCTTGTTCTTGACTTACAAGACAGCAACAATGTTGATCAGATGGCTCTGTGATAATGTTGTGGAGGGATGTGTGCAGATCAGTGGAGTACACATTCCTGTCACTTTGTGTAGAATTTGAATAGGCAGGTCATAGTTTGCATTCAGCAGTGAACTCCACCTTGCAAAATGCAATCTAAAGACAGCACTCAGCTTCCCGAAACATACGATCATTTCGTACGGCATGATACGTCACGTTACCTTTTTCAAAGCAGATGTGATTCAAATTGTACTATACGGGTAAAGTTGTTCGTGTGAACGGGACAAGGACGAAAAACCACTGTTTGCACAGAGGAATACCAGAAGAGTCCATCTACACTTTATAGGCCAGTTGAGCTAATAAACGTGTCTGAACTTTGTCCTCTACTGCGGCAACCTCCTCTCAGAGACAGAGTGGTTTATAACAGAGATCTCGTCCCTATCGGTTACGATCAAAGATAAGTGCTAGGGTTCACTGGTTGAAATCTAGACTTAATATGGCGTCTGTCTCTCAGGTCACTCGCTCTGACCCCGATCCAGCGGCCTGAAATGTACATCATCGGAGCACAGCCCCTCTGCAGTCAGCTGTCTGGTCTCTCTCAAGTAAGTTCTTGTCTGCCTGTTTTAGACCTCTTTTTGGTTGTAGTAGAAACACCTCGAACAGCTGTCACGCTGAAGGACACACGGCTCAGTTTTGCACGGTGCGGCTTTGCAGCATCAGCGATGAAATAGTCAAACACAGGAGAATATCCCCACGGGGGCCGCTCAACGTGTAAACCATTAACGTGGTAATCCCCGCTAATCTCTCCTATGATGCCGTGCCGTCTGCAGGGCCAGAGGAAGCTGTGCCAGCTGTACCAGGACCACATGGTCTTCATCGGAGACGGAGCCAAGACGGGCATCAAGGAGTGCCAGTACCAGTTCAGACAGAGGAGGTGGAACTGCAGCACAGTGGACAACACGTCCGTGTTTGGACGGGTCATGCAGATTGGTGAGTTTGATGGGAACGCGGAGAACAGTAAAGGAGAGGTTGCGTCTTTCTCCCCTTTGTAAACACCCGTCAATCATTTTGGGAGCGACGGCGGGTTTTTATTTCGGTTTTGTTTTATGGTTTGCTTGCAATAGGGATGTTATCAAGGATGCAAACGTCTATGAGTTACACACACACATGTCAAAGCAGCAAGACACATCGTGAGCTGCACTGTGTTGGTGAGTATTTTGACATGTGACAGAAAAAGTTATACGTGACATGAAAACAAGTTTGTAATGAAAGAATAGAGTTGTTGTGTTTTTCACAAAAATGAATCTATTAAGCTGGATTCTATTCTAGCTTGTCAGGGGTTTGAATGTTAGACACAGCAGAATTGGGCTCATTAAACAGACGGCTCGCGGTTCCCACTTTGCGCATGCGCAATGTATCTTGATCCATTCGCGTAAAAGCCACGACGCGGACGAGTTGCGCGAGGCAACTAGCGACACACGTGAAAACTAAAGCAAAAAAGAAGTGCCACATATGGCATGTATGTTTATTAGTTGTGATAAATCTGCACATTTGAGCACATACAGACCCCGGATCGGTTTCACGTGCGTCTAGTTCCCAGCAGGCGATGTGGGAAACCTCCCCATCAACAAGTACGTGTCAAATCCGCTGCGGGCAGTCGGACGAGGTGTTTGCTGCTCTTTCTCTGTCTGCGTCGCCCTCTGGCCGTCTCCCTATTGACAGTCAGTCTCTCCCCGCGTTTATATGGAGGTGTTAGTCGCTCCATTGTCTCGCAGCTCCTCCTTTTGAAATGCGCCGATGAGCTGACACCGAGCCGGCAGATCCGGAGCCCGTTTATTTGAAGTCTGGTCTCCGCAGCCCCCCCCCCCATAAAAACCTCTCTCGCGCTCGCTTTTTCCTCGTCCTGTGTCTCCATTATCTTGCTGCATAATTTGTGCATCAGCATCTTGACAGAGAGAGAGAGAGAGAGAGAGAGCGCGCGCTCCTAAAAACCCGATGAATATCTCACACGCATCAGCTCTGCATGCATGCATACCTGTCTGTCTGTCTGGCCGGTGTGGATTGCAGGCTGCAGGCTTACTGGGACACTTTGTAGAGCGATACTACACAAAGATGCATGCACTTTTAAAAACAGAATAACCCCAAAACCACCACGCATTCGTGACGAGATGCCATTACAAGTGCAACAGGGCCAAGCAAATAACACTAAATGGCATTTCTACGCTATACCGCATGGGGGAAAGCCAAAGACACGATAAGGGGCAATAGGTGGCGTTTTGCGATGACCTCTCCGTGGTATCAAACATCGTTTGAAAAGAGAGGCATGGCCCCGCATTATACGACCCCACGGTGCTCTCTGGAAATGCCCTCTCAACCAGAAATACCACACGGCTGTTCAGATGTAAATTTCCAGTTTCGGAGCACTTTGCTTCCTACCTGTCAGGCCCTGGTCTTTGTTCTCCTTTCCTTCTCAATGGTTTGTGTATTAATGGGCTGAATAGACAGGCGGGCTGCGTATTCCGCCGGGTTAGACGGTGTCGGCCTTCATTTGGACCTGCGTGTGCATCGAGGCGACTACAAAGAGCAACAGCGGTCCGGTTGTGCTTTTGAAGCTGGGTAGATTTGTTCAGAATCCTTCTCTGTGGTCCCACCTTGACATTCTAAGTGTGTTTGTGAGTGTTTGCACGTAGGCCTTTGCTGTGCAGTTCCCCCAAATTACACTTATTTCCCTGAATTTTTTTTCCACAGTTTGAGGTATCGGCCTTACTGAATATTCTGCCTTATTCTGATACAATAGGTTTATTGGTGGTGCTCACTTGTTTTGGGTGACACAAATTTACCAAATTAGCTGCTTCATACATTTTATGGATCTGGTGCTTAAAGTAGCTGAGTTTGACCAGGGTCACAGTTAAAATCACTTCTATTGTCTTTTGTTAGGTGAAGTGGGTGTGGGGCTGTTTGTAGTGTGTGTGTGTGTGTGTGTGTGTGTGTGCATGTCAGGGTGGGGGTGGGGAAGGTTTAACCTGAACACTTACCCATGTTTCCTGTCGGTGAACACACACGTTCTCCAAAGCCCTAGAAATATGAAAAAAAAGGGCCCAGTGTTCCTCTACCTGCTAACTCAAGTTCATTAGTCGCTGACATCTGCATATCTGAATAATTATTTCCGCCTCCCCTCAGGCTCCAGGGAGACGGCCTTCACCTACGCCGTCAGCGCGGCCGGCGTGGTGAACGCCATCAGCCGGGCGTGCCGCGAGGGCGAGCTCTCCACCTGCGGCTGCAGCCGCGCCGCTCGACCCCGCGACCTGCCGCGCGACTGGCTGTGGGGCGGCTGCGGCGACAACGCGCACTACGGCTACCGCTTCGCCCGGGAGTTTGTGGACGCCAGGGAGCGGGAGAAGAACTACCCGCGCGGCTCCACTGAGCACGCCCGCACGCTGATGAACCTGCAGAATAACGAAGCGGGGCGACAGGTAACGGAGGCGTAACGCACACACACGAGCATTTAGTGGTTGTCTATTCAAGTATAGAATAGAGTTGATGCTTTGGGAGTTCTACAGGGGGATATTTAGCAAAGTAGTTTGTGTCCACGCTTCCCAACCTCATCCTATATCCTATATGTGTCTAAGGAATGTGTGTGTGTGTGTTTGTGTGAATAGAGGTGGCCTGACCTGGCAGTGTTTGTGAGTGTGTGTGTGTGTGTGTGTGTGTGTGTGTGTGTGTGTGTGTGTGTGTGTGTGTGTGTGTGTGTGTGTGTGTGTGTGTGTGTGTGTAAGTTATTTATTGGGAGGGTCCAAATGGTATAACTGCTAACGCCCTTGGAGTCTGGCTAGGTCGCCAGGTCATTGCACATTCCAACGAAGTGACACACACACACACAAGGTCATAATACACACATATAAATGGAGCAACACAATGGACAATAACATCTATGATTTTATGGAGAGTTCAGAAGTGGAACGCGAAACAATGTGGAAGAAAACAAGAAAAGAAAATGATGGCTTGAATGAATGAATGTGGTGCCTTTTGTCAAACTAGCAGTTGCTGCCGTTTGTGAGTTGTTTTTTTTCTGGTCCTCTCTAGTTGCCATACGTCGACTATTAGATGCTCCAGACTTGACATCACAGCTAAAGGTGTTTGGAAAGTCTTGCACTAAAAGAAATCTTTCACCTTAAACTAGGCTACACGCTCACGCACATCCACGCACACACATGCACACGCAGTCTGACACACACACTTATACACTTCCCTCGTAAAAGGTCCATTTGCCAGTTCTGCTACACGTTGGATCAGGAGAATGTCTTTATCTTTAGTTAGAGGAGCTTTGTTCAAGCTGTTTGCGAGACAAAGGCGGTGTGTGTGTGCGTGTGTGTGTGTGTGTGTGCGCGTGTGCGCATGTCGTCTCAGCTCCATTTGATTTGTGTGAGAGACATTGAGCCTGGTTTTGTGTGAGCGTGTGTATCGGGGGTCAAAGGTGAGGGTCTGGAGAGGTTGTGTTTCTGCTGAGGGTCCCGTTGGGGCTATAGGAGTGTATGAGAGGGAGAAAGATCTATTGCTGCAGCCGTGTATTAACACACGCACACACACACACACACGCTGTCCACTCTTCTGAATGGCTTTTCCGCCTCTCCATCCGTTTGATCCCTTGTTTTCATTGTCGCCTGTCCATCGAAACGGAAGAGAGGAGAGGAGAGAAATAAAAAGGGGGGTAACGAGTGAGAGGAAGACAGTTTTCCTCTTCATCCCTTCCATCAATTCCCGCTTCGGGACAAAACGCCATTTTGTCCCGAAGCGGGAATTGTCTTGCTTGGTTGAACAAGGCAAACTGCTGAGTGTGTGTGTGTGTGTGTGTGTGTGTGTGTGTGTGTGTGTGTGTGTGTGTGTGTGCGCGCAGCATCATTTGATTTGTGTGTAAGGCGGATAACGTGGTTGTCTGTGTGTACAAGCGTCTGGAGACAGACGCAGGGTGAGGGATGGACCTCTGTCACACTCCCTTGACTCTGAAAGGCACGCACACACACACACACACACACACAGCGCCACCCAGGTCCACTGTCTCCGTCTCACACAAATCAAATGGGAGAGACTTGTCACTTATAGAGACCAAAAGATAATAACGGGCCACTTTAGTCGGCGCAGCCGATATCTCCCCGATTCATCGGAGCCTGTGGATGACTTTGCTTCTCGTTACAATGTCATTACTTGAACACAAAATATACCAAATAAGGCACAAGAAGACTTGATGTCGTAGTACAGCGTTTTGAAATGTCATTTTTGGCTCAAATGTTCATTGGGAACCTGACACAGAAGCTTCAATGAATTGATGGTGCAAGCGGATATGGACTATTTATGAAAATTGTATTTCTCTTTCAGGCTATTTGAAAGGTTTGGAGAAACATCTGATCCTTACTTTGTTTTGATGCTCTTATTTTTTCTTGTTAGAGCGGCCTTTGATCTACAAAAAGTGAATTACGAGCCACATTCCTCTACAAATACTGCCGTCTCCATCTGCGATGCAGGCGGCTCGCAGACAGCCGTCATATCTCCTTATCAAGTTTGCCTCAAAGGGCTTTACAATCTGTACAGCATGCGATCAACGCTTCAGATAAGGAAAAACTCCCCTAAAAAAACCTCTTTGACAAATGCAAGCAATAGTCATCAGAAGGAGCGACGGAGAAGGGACGTGCATTAGATGTTCGCACAGAGCAGCGATGTGACAACGTGGAGAAACGAGATGACAATGTAAGAGACAATTATTTAATGACCAATACTAGAGAACGAGCTGCTTAAGTTAAAAGGAAAAGAAGAAGACAAACTCAACAGGATTTTCATTGTAACAACAAGAAGATCTGACAGGAGAATGTGCTCCTCTACTTGTCTGCGTTTCCTCTTTATTTTTTTTCTTATTCTCTCACAAAGGATGTGCTATGTTCTCTTTTTTTTAACCCATTCTAGTGCAAACTGCACAGACACACACACACACACACACACACACACACACACACACACACACACGGCTCCTAACCCCTCACCCTGTCTGAGCAGAACCTATTGTGCCTGACACAGAGACCGTGTCACCACCACGGATGACTGACCTTGTGTGTGTGTGTGTGTGTGTGTGTGTGTGTTTCCATCAGTTCCCTGTGTCACTGTGCCCAGCAGGCACGACCTACCAAATAGCTCCGTTTGATGCAGGACACAAACACACACACACACACACACAGTACAGACATGGCTTGCTTTTTTAAGGGGGTTATCGGCCACTTGCAATATTGGTAGAATTACAAAATATTAATGAGCCGTTACTATGGTAATAACGTCTTACCCACTTCTCTAAAAACAACTGTAATGGCAGTGAAGCAAAAAAACAACACGTAAGTAACAATAGAAAAGACTACTTAGAGAGAAAGGATTAGATTTAAAGTTTACTGAAATAAAGCTGGTTGTCGTTGCTCAAAACCTCACAAATCTTTTTCCTTAATATCCGTGAAAATGTTATCCATAATTACCCATGGATAAAAAAGTGTTGCTCTTCTAATTTTCTTATTCCTGTGAATCCGAACCTCTAAAAGACCCTCAGAGAGGAAACATGAGGGCTCCTAAAACAACAATGAGTCATAAAACATTTCAACTTTAAAGAAAAAGCGTATACTTCCAAATAGTCACACTGGGAGCCACGTAGACGTATGAAGATACTTTCTTCCAAACAGCTGAGGCAGCATTTTAGAAAATGGCAAGAACCGGAAATGCTGAAAACAAGGCTTCTAGCTAAAGAAAAATGTGATTGTCCCCTGTTCCCAGTGTCTCTCTGATGAGGGGGGGTCACGGGGGTCGAGTCCCGGATTGGAGGGTGCCGAGTGCTATGCCTGCTGGGTAGTAAAGTAGAGGGGAGAGGGGAGTGGGGGTCGGGGGTGTTCGGGGTTAACAGAGGTGAGAAGGTAATTGAGATCAGGCAATGTGAGGACTGATGGGTTTCATGAGGGGAAACCGAAGAATCGGCAGTAACTGATTTCAGCAACTACTCTGGGAAATGGCATCGCCGCAAACACGAAACACTAGACAGTACATGATTAGTGACCAAGTACATGGTGGGATGCATGCGTGTGCGTGTGTGTGTGTGTGTAATGTGACTTGTTTAATGAATGCTGCTCAACTGGCCTGGTTTAGCTGCAGGGGTTGTGAAGGGCTTCCCCTAAAGTCCACTGCTGCAAAGGCCATAAATCTTGTATTTCCTGTTCTGTTTTCTTAGCTTGCGCATGTGTGAAAAAAAAATATTTGGGTGAAAATAGGACGCTTTGTTTTAAGGAATGTCAAGATTGTCTAAGATCTAGAACAGCAAGTTACACTTTATATTTATATTGCAGTGCTCTCGTCTTGAATTATTTGAATTATACACAAGAGATTTAAAGTGAATCCAAATAGTTGAATAGGAAGGGGTAGTTGGTGTAACATTTTTTTTCTCTTCTTGTGAAAAAAGTGACAGATCCGAGGATCTCAACCTGATCTCTGTACCTCAAGGCGATTTCACTGACTGAATAGCTAAACTAATTATATGCCACGTTATGCTTTTCCCCTTTTAAAGCGACTGCCTTTTTGCTGGGAGCTGTGTGGGAAACTTCACAATAGAGACACGTTTCCTCCGGTTAGCAGCAGCCCGTCTATTCTAAGTCAGCTGTTTGTTTTAGTTTGGTGGAGTAGTACTGACAGCCTTGTCAAAGAATGCCATGTATGTACGGAGAATACATTCTGGTCTTTGTTTTTCTTTGCTTTTCATTTTTCTCTTTTTGGATATCTATTTTTACCGCACCCTTTAACAGGAGGGTATTATTTGCTACAACGCACAGTGGTGACAGAGAGCCGGGAATATTTCAAAATATATAATTATATATATATATATATATATATATATAGGAGAAAGGTCCCTCAGCAAGTGGGATATGGATCTAACTAGCTGGTGTCTTGCCTTTTAGCTGTTATTAAATGTCTTTCCGTCTTATTCAACTAGGTTTGGCTTTTTATGACCTGATCTAGAGGTCATGAATTTAAACTATTGAAACATTGAAATCTTAATATTGTGTTAAACATCGTCGTTGATTTTTTGCAGGATGTTCGTGTAATGTGAGAAAACGTTATCGGCTGTTGAACACAACGACCACTAGATGGCAGCAGCGCTTCAGCAAATATAGTATATCTACTGCACAAAAAACAAGTGCCAACTGGTGTCATGGTGACCCTCATATATTTAGATGAATGTTTTTTTTCTATATTCAGTGTTACTGTGTTTATTCTGTATAGTGAGAGTTTTTATTTTTGCATAAATAAGACCACCTCCCCTCTAACTACTCGTCTCGTTCTCTCACTCCACCAGGCCGCCTATAACCTCGCAAACGTAGCCTGCAAATGTCACGGCGTCTCCGGCTCCTGCAGCCTCAAGACCTGCTGGCTCCAGCTGGCCGACTTCAGACGCGTCGGGGAGTTCCTGAAGGAGAAGTACGACAGCGCCGCCGCCATGCGCATTGGACGCAAGGTAACGACGCCCTCGTCGGCGGAATGCCATCTCACCTCCTAGAGTGCCCTGAAAGAAGCATGAACAACCCCCCTCCCCTTCCCCTCCTGAAATCTGATTTTTCCCTGCAGGGCAAGCTGGAGCTGGTGGACAAGCGCTTCAACACGCCGACCGCGGAGGATCTGGTCTACATCGACACCAGCCCCGACTACTGCCTCCGCAACGAGACCACCGGCTCGCTGGGCACGCAGGGCCGCCTCTGCAACAAGACCTCGGAGGGCATGGACGGCTGCGAGCTCATGTGCTGCGGCAGGGGCTACGACCAGTTCAAGACCTACAAGCACGAGCGCTGCCACTGCAAGTTCCACTGGTGCTGCTACGTCAAGTGCAAGCGCTGCACGACGCTCGTGGACCAGTTTGTGTGCAAATAGCACGCCGACGGACCGAGGGCGCGCGTGGGGGGGGGGGCTGAGGAGGTGAGGGGGGAGATGACGGGATGGTGCTTGAACTTTCAGGGTTCAGGGGTCCGTTTTTGGGGGAGCAGTTTCCCACCCCCTTCTCTCCTCCCGTTCATAAATCTCTGCCCTTTTTTCACGTGAAGAGCAAAAGCTGCGTTACAACTGTATGGGCATATTTTTGTTATGTGTGTAAATAAGTACGATGGTGGATTGATGGAGGGGAAAGAAGACCGGGTGGATGTGAAGATAGAAGGACTGTGATTTCGGCCATGTTTTTTTTCCGGATAACTCTATGCTATTCGTTCTTTGACGGAGGTTCCTGTTTGTCATTACTCCAGCATCACACTCTCCTGTCCTGCATGATACCCTGATCTCAACCCTTGACAGGAAGGACATTTGGGGGAAAAACACGCTGGACAACTCAAAAGGACATCACGGATAAATGGACTGAGAAAGTGGAATAACGATCCTAAAAAGGGGACACATATGAAAAAAAAAAGAGAGATGAAATAAATATATAATTAAATAATAAATAAACCTACAACTCTGATTGTTATTTAAAGATACGTAAACAAAACCAAAAGCACGTGTTCAGGAATCCCAGAAATCAATGCAGTCCCTTTTGAGTTTGAAGCGATGTGAGTTGTGTCAACGTGTCTTTAACTTTAACCATACAAAGAGAAATCCTCACATGAGTGCTGATGTTGTTCTAACACAACAAGCACGGAGAACACAAGAAAACGAGGCAAAGTCCACGCTGAAGCGCGCCGACGAGAGAGGAGAATCAGATGTAGAAAGGGAATAGTGAAAAGGGGCCGATATTTCAAACAAAATTGGAGGCCACACAAGCTGAATTTAAGAAAAAGTCAAAGACGGACTAACGACTTCCAGGACATCCTCAGTGTAACTACTGCGGTTGGGAGCGGATCTCCAACGACCTTTGACCTGACGGGGGAGTCTGGTCGCCCTGGTGAGGCGTCGCCAATCGCGGCCGTCTGGGCACCGCGTGCGCTTTAAACAAGCAGCTCGCACGAGCGCCGTCCTTCACCCGACAGTGAAAGGGAGCGAAACCACCATTTAGTGAGAATAATTGTGCTGCTTCTGCCTTAATCGACCCGCACAAAGAGACACATTGACTTTGAGTGGGCGTCTTCATCTCATGCTATGCAACCTGTTCAGTCATCAAAAAAAGCCCTGTGGTTGTATTGTTTTTTTTGGCCAGTTTGACCATCAGTTTAACATGTTTTAATGCTGCCATACGAGGAATTTTGCAACTTTTATAGGATGGGTTGAGAAAACCTTAAAGTGTATAATGTATTCCAATCAATAGAAGCAGTTCATAAAACAGACGAAGAGGACAAAGTGAACATAAAAAGACTGAAAATGCTGTGGAAAAACAGAGGACTGCAATTTATTATGTGCTATGTCAAAAAAAAGGTAGATAAGAAAAGAAGGTATATTTTATTATTGTTTTTCATTTTCTGTTTTCTATGTTTTCTACATGAGTATTTTTGTGTATTCTTTTGATAAACCAGTCTTGGCCAACAACGCTTTGTTCTGTTCTTGAGTGTGTTACAAAAATGATGCATGCGGTTGTTAAATGGGGAGGCAACGTAGAACAGGAAACTAAATGACTCTTTTTCAATTTATGCCAAAATGATGTATTAAATATAAAATGCTCAATTATTTGAAAGGGGTGCTGAATTGATTTTTACAATCAAAGTTTAAAAAAATAATAATTTCACTGTTTCAAAACATAAAATTACAGCAACTAGCACAGGAATACGCAACATTACCACCACGACATAACTCTGCAGGGTTAGCGTTCATGTTTTATTAATGAACTCTGTGAAGCTAAAACTTTGCTCCCGAGTCGGCAGGTTTTGTGTCGCCTGATGGTGTGACGAGGCTTTTGAAGAACCTCATCGCTCACCTCTATGCTCTGCAAACCCTTTCTGGAGGAATATAAACAGTCTGTTTCTGTGATGTATCAAAGACAATCAAATAATAAGAGAACATTGGAAATTGTCCAAACATTTCTTTCATATTCTTAGTTCAAGATTCAAAGTTCTTTAGTTAAATGTTCCTTGTACTTGCTCACAATGACTATTTCTGACCAATTTGAGACCGTGAGAATAGCGTGTGCACTTGGTAAGTTGAACTATGTCTTGGGCGCTGAATTAAAAATGTACCCAGAGGTGATCTTCACATTTACTTTGTCCTCTAGCACGTTCCTAATGATTATTGAGTTCGTTTTTTTCAAGGAAATTCCCTATAAATCAACCATTATTGATCAGTATTACGGTCCGACTGTGTTTATGTTTATTACCACAGCACATTGAGGTCATATATGTGTATTGTTTTTTTCACGTAAAAAAGTAAAATATGTATGAAAGTTGTCCGCCGTCTTCTTGCACCATTATCAAGGCATTCCTTCCTAGTCTTTATTTTCTCACGCTGACCCAATCAAATGGACAGCTTGTCCACTCCTCGACTCTCCGTGTATATTATTTAGTCCTCACTCACGGTGTCCTCTATAACTAAAAAGAAATGGCTCATACAGCTGTGCTTTAGCTTTAATGACTGAAAGTCAAGTGCACAATCGTTGTTAAGTAGGTCTCTACGGTATATCGACCGACAATCCCATTACCTTCAGCCGCTCCCAGCTAATTGGATTAGACTACTGACCAATAGTATTGTCCCTGCCTGTGTAATCCTCCTCACCTGGGGGAGGAATCTGTGTCGAAACAGCCCAAAGTGCTCTTACTGATTCCTTCAAAGACTTGTATGTAATATTACTATATGTAATAATACTAATCCCACATCGATGGTGTGTGTGTGTGTCTCATATATGTGTTTGTGTGCTCACTGAAGATCCAATAAGTGAAAGCGTAACCTGCTGGTATCACTAATCCTTTTCACCTGAAAGCCATCTGCTACTGTGACACTGCTAATTTCACTGTGCTCACCTCTGAAAACCAACAAACAAACAAACAAAAAGGAAAGTGGTCTTTATTTCATTAGGCCTTTTCCTAATCTGAGGTTGTTTTTGTTTTCTAAGCGGGATAGTGCCAGTTCTTCTGTGGCAGGGAGGTTGGCTTTGAGATCTGGGATTTTCATAGACTAGACTATGTCTGCAGCTTTTATGCCAAAAGTCAATCTTGCACAAGTGCCCTCGGGCTGCTTGTTAAATAGAAGAAAAAAAGAACATTTTAAACTCTTGGGAGTTTTGGTTGATCTGGAGCTCCTCCTGCAGGTTGGACATTCCCTTATCTTTCTCTCTGCAGCTTTGACAGCTTTCTCAGCCTCGGATGAGAAGTGTAGCTGCAGGACTCTTTCGAAGGCCGAATAGCGCCTCGGCGTGCAAACTGGACTGGAACATTGGTACAGCGTCTCAGGGTGAGTCCTGATGTGACCCTCTGGTTCTTAGCTGCAGGATTTTTTCTTGTGTTAGACTTTCAGCTGCCTAATTATGAAGCCGAACCTGCTCAGTGGCATGAATTGCCTTATATTGCAGCAAAACTGCCTCATACAATTTTGTTGTGTGTTTAGTTACTCTTTTCTGCAGAGTTTTGGCCTTTGAGCATTGGGTAATAATACCTCCAACGGTCTTTTCGCGTTCTGCCCTCCAGCAGGGGGACACAGCACAGGCAATAGACAAATATCCAGACCACGAGGCACGATCTCATTCATCATTTTATTTTGAGCATTTTATACCACACTGCACCGTATTTTACAATGCTGTGTCATATAAATCAATGCTCTTTTGGACAATTGTACTAGATGTTTAATGGCAGAGGCAAACTGTACAATAGGATGACATGTTCCTTTAGGTGTGCGTGTGTTTGTGTAAATTAACCAGCAGCTGTTAAGGTATCCATACGTGGGCCCTGTGAGCAGAACGGCCCCCTGAATCCTGAGAGAGCGGAGCACATAATCTCTCCGGATGGTGCTGCAGTTTCAGTAACTGTAACAGTTTCATGTGACGAAAATCTAAATTGTAATTCTCACCTCAGCGGCACTTTATTCACCCCTTTCTTTTGTAGGGATCGTGCAAATTGTTAGAATTCTTCCCACAAAGCACAAGGCGTCAGGCACTCAAGTCCCCCCCATATTTACAGAAAAGCCAGCATGCAAATCCCAAAACCACAATGCAACACAGACTGCAGGTTCACACGCTTATTTAGCAGCTTTAGTTATTTCTCCCAACAACAGAGGGCATAAGTTGCTGTTAACCAACCGTTTTAGTTGCAAGAAAAATGGCTCACTCAATAAAACAAAAATGCAATTGTAAACCTTCATCGCCCGCAAATGAAAAATATTAATTACGCTGACATTCAGCTACTGGCAGAGAGCAGCGTCCATAAAAACATTCTTAAAATTAACAAAAGGTGTATGCACTCCAGGCTTTGGGAAAGTAATACTGCAAAATGATTCATTTAAGCAACTAAGGGAATCATTAGAAACATAATGTCCAATGAGTTCACCTCAGCGTGACAGCTCTTATACAACTTTCCATGACCTGTGAAGGAGACAATGAGGTAGGTGTGAACCAGATTCCATCATGTAGTTCTCTCTTGAGTCACGCCCTGTTGGTGCGAGCGTGGATCACGGCTTTAATGTGACCATATGTGGCAACACGTGTGTGACAATCACGTTATGTTCAAACATAGTTCAATCTAAATAGCAACCATATGTTTGAACTACCGTTTCATTTATTGGCCTTTTAGACTGACAGTTGATTTGTAGGGATTCCTGAAGAACACAGATTCAGACACACACCTAATGTCAGGTGTGGTCTACGGTGTTTTGCCTGTTCCGGACATCACACCAGTCTCTCTCACACACACACACACACACACACACACACACACACACACACACCGCTATATTGTGATAGAGAATATAGATTATATATAGTTGGAAACGTCAGTCCTGTTAGTGATTGTATTAGACATCAGATGTGATGTCCACTATACATAGTGGCAATAGAAATAGATGGAAGCAACACATAGTGAACACACAAATTCCACAGAGCGATTGAACAGTGTTGATTACATTTTAAAAATGACTTTAACCAAGTTAAATTATCCACAAGGCTGAATGTCTGATTTGTTGCTCCAGTTGGTACTGCAGCTGCTTATCTGAATGACCGCATTCCCTTTGGATGAGCTTTTACAAATGTTACCACATACAAGCAGACAGGGCAACAAAGCAACATTTAAATGTTGGATTAGCAGTGAGAACATGGTGCGATCAGAAATTGAGGTTATGCAAACAAACTGCAATACCCTGCCAATTGCAGTGCACGTTGCTCACTGAGAGGTTGCAAAGCCGAAGGTCTCGCTTTAGTAACCAAAAGTTCCATATGTTTAAGAAATCACCTGCCAAAACAGGCCGACTGAAAATCCCATGGTATTTTATAGAGAATATGCAATCCCCTGTATCACAGAATGGTAGGAGTCTCAAACTCTTCACTTTTCTTTCTTTTTTTCTTCTCTGATATCTGGCCAACTAGTCATTCTGCTATTCGCAGAAGAAACAAAGATAACTGAGTCAAATTTCGAGATCAGACAGCATGCAAGGACACATACATAATTATAAGCATTTTATCCTGCGACTTCCAGAGAAACAACTGTTGAAACACGCCATCAGGACTAGGCAAGGTCACACTCACATGTTTACGTAACTCTAAAAGCACATCAGACATATTGTAGGAAAAAAGAAATCAATGATTTGAACTTTGAGGGTGGACAAACTCCATCAACCGATTAGCTGAAAAAAACATGGCCTGGTCAATAGACTGTTGGATGACCAGGGAGATATTTTTGAATAATTGAGGATTTGGGGTTTAAAGTTATGTAGGAGGCTATTAGGATTTTTTTAAATACTGTGAATCTCTGAAAAAACTATGTTGTTTTAGGAGAAAAAAAAGATTAAAATTTAATTTAAATTCAACGAGTTTGATAGATCAAATATGCTGATACAATGAACCCATTACCCTGGAGAACTCAGCAACACTCTGGTCAAAGTACAGACATAACAATCTCCTGCCAGAGATATACAACAACTTGTTGAACCCGTTTAGAGTTGAGATCTGTCAACCTGATTAACCGGGTGGATGAAACTGTGAGGGAGTATAGCAACACACCCTGCCAGAGCCTTGCATCAAAATTAATCCATTTGCACAATCACGCCTTAACCGTGCGTATAATGCAGCAGGGTGTTGGTTTTTCTGTATTCATCTATGAATATGTACACCCCATGTCTGGGGTAAGAATAAAGGATAAAGTGGTGGAGTTCAACTGTCAAACCTCCTGCACATGTTTTATTTGCTCATGTGGTGGGGATTTATGACCGGTCTGCAAGAATTACTAAAAAGATGTTATTCCAAGAAACAACAATTTTTATAATCAATGAATGGTTTAAGTTGTGTATTAAGCAACAATTACCCAATAATGGCATATTCCAGCTTCCTAAATGTCAGGACGGGTTTTCTCTGTTGTTTTACCATTATAAATTGATCAGATTGAGATGGAAATTTTCAGAAGGCTCGGTAATGTTATTTTTATTTCACACATTACATCATATTGACAAAAGAGCATAGTCCCCATAGTTTATACAGTACGGTATACATACACATTGCCTACAATTCTTCAGCCCAATTACTTAACGTTAGATACTCCAGGCCGTTGTTGGCAAGGCTGCTCAATTTCCACATGGCATTTGTTTGCCAGAAAGTTTTTAACAGAAACAATGCTGGACACGCAACTAAAAAAATATTGATTTTATAATTAGAGTGGCACTGCACACTTAACATATCAACATATTCCTATATCTATTGCCACACTTTGCCATATATTTTTCCACTCGACGTTAGAAACTACAAACCACGTTACTTAATTTCTAGGTCTCTTCCTGTTCCGGATCGTTACCCATTGGTCACATTTATCTTTGAGTGAATCTGATTGGACGACGGGCTCTCACGCGAGCAGCGTCACGCGGTGACCGCTTTGCTCGGAACGTCACCCAGTCTAGTTCGCTCTAGCGACAGTCTGACAACCAGTCAGAGAACCCAGGAGCAGCGAGTACAACTCCACCAACTGAGTTACGCTACACAGAAGGACGCACTCGTCTACGAACGCCGGCACCAGGTTAATACCACAACTGACACCCCCCGCTTTTTGCTGTCTGTGTAGTTTTTGTATGTTGTTTCAGACTGTTGAATTCACCCCAGGACTTTCCCAGCGCAGCGTTAACGCCTGAATGCAACACGCCAGCTAGCGGCTTTGCTATCCAGCTAATTCTGGCTGTCAAAACAACAGGGAGAGACAGAGAGGCATAATCCGCTAGCCAGCGAGAAAAAGACCTGGCTTCGTTTTCTCTCTTTACGTGGCGCCAACGCTCAAACGGGCTCCTTGTTCGGTACGTGGAAACGCGGACGGGTCGATGTGGTGAGCTGTCAAAATAAACACGCGCCCGGTTAAATAGTTACGTGGATTTCTGTGGGAGGTGGCGGGTCTTTTTTTTTTGCTAGCCGACTAGCATGCGCGCTAGCTCGGTGTAAACAAACCGTCGTCACAGCCCCGTCGACGGGAGTCCGCGTCTCGCTGTTAACGTGGAATTGTGAGGCGAAACGTTTGAGGCCGGACACGTTAAACGTTGTCTGCGCGGTGACAGAAATATCGAGTTGGTCTGGATAGAGTTTTATTTTGGGGGGGTTCTTTGTCTCGCTCGCACGCCACTGTTCGCCTGGTGTCACTTTGTGTGTGTGTGTGTGTGTGTGTGTGTGTGTGTGTGTGTGTGTGTGTCTCTCAGTCTCAGAGTTCAGGACAGTGTGTCTCTTGCTGTCTCTCAGCTTGTTTTTCTTAAACCTTTTTGTTTATGTGATTTGAGTTGAGAGGAGCTGTATTGTTTTATGAACGAAACGCTGCCAGGCGGTGCTGCAAATGTTTTATTAAATGTTCATTCGGAGGATCTTATACATTCACATCGCACAGTTAACCAAAGTGCTGTTTTTATTATTGTAAAACTAAGCAGTTGTAATCCAAATGTACCTGACTGGTACATTTTTTATTTTATTCTCTCATTTATAAAATAGTGTTTGATTCTCTTGTTTGGCGACTTGTAATATGATTGCATGAGTGCCCATCCCATTCCAGTTTGCCTCTGACTCTACGGTTTGTCTCAAATCATGAAGTCATCTCATAAATATTTCATGGGCTGTGTAGCTGATCGCCTATTTGTCTCTAACCCCAAGCTTTACGTGTACCAAAACACTCACAGGCGTCCCCAGGCTCCAGGATCAGCACATGGATATTTCATGGGGCACCGTCATAACTATTTGTGGTGAAATACATTTTAATCTCTGGTTTCAACTGCAGTTGACCCTTTTGGGGGGGGGGTTCACATTGTAACATTGTAACTTACTTAACAGCACTGGAAACTCCAGATGTCATTTCACCCATCCCCGCTGTTAACCTCAATTCGCACACCTGTGCGTGTCAGTGTACTCGTGTACGCGTGTGCAACAAAATCCACACGGGGATGCAAAGCAGACCCGTACGACATCATTTCCATGAATAGCAACTGTGTTCTATCAAAAAGAAAAAGTTCAGTACCCACAGTAAGTTTACCGCATGGAGTCACACGCCCTTCAGCTTCATCTGGAAATGTGCTGTAATTTCCTGTCGGAAGATATTGATATGCCATTTATACAAATAATAGATTTAGACCTTCCGTTGCTCGAGCTGATGGACTCTCAACCTGCTAGACGCGGCTATAGAGAAATATGTCATGTGTTGTATTTTTTTACTGGAACTACAACTCTAGAGAATTTAAAGTATAATGAAGTCAGTGCCAGTGTACCGAGCAGCTAGACGCAGCTTCTAAGAATAGTCGGGAACTGTCAGTGCAAAATGGATTGATCATAAGTTTCTGCCTCGCTCTTTCTTTTATACTGCTCCGCTTGTCTCCGTCTCTCCTTCCCTCTCGACTCCAAACCGGTCTGTCTGTGTCTGCGTGTATTTTAAAAAAACAAAAAATGACAAAGCTCGCTCTTGTCTTAAATGGTTGTTGTTTATGTTGTGAGTAGGGATGAGAATTGATAAGATTTTAACGATTCCGATGCCTTATCGATTCGATTCCTTATCGATTCTTATTGGGCAAGGGGTGAAAAAAAGAGCACAAACGGGTTTATTTACATTCATTTTCTTTTATAAATGTTCTATAATGCTGCACACACCATATACAGTATGTATACATACACATTTAAAAAAAAATGAAAAAAACAAAAACATTTATACATATTCCTCTTGAACTTAAAATAAAACTTCTCAAAACTGGACTTTCAATCCAAACGTGAAGTGATCAATAATGGGAGACCAATGCCGGAGCTAAAATGTATGCTTCAAACGAAGGGACAGAAGATAACTTGATCGACTACACACAATAAAGGCAAATTGCTTCACACAGTGAGTGACTTTTGAGTTTACCTTGGACAGAAAGAGATGAAGCGCCGACGTTAGCTGAGCTGCTGCATTCATCGAACACATGACATTCCTGTAATTTAATTCCATGCTGTGTGTTCAAATGCTTATTCATATTTGTTCTATTTCCTCCCTTCGACGAAATAGACTTTTTACACAGGTTACAAGTGGCGTAGGTGTCATTTTGTGGTGTGAAATAGAGCCAAACTTTAGAACGCTTCTGCCTAGTTGCCATGTTTGCTGCAGTCTGAAGAAGAAACTAAGTTTGCGCATGCGCAACGCCACAAAGGACCGTTAGCAGAACCGTTAAAGAATTTGGTTCACTAGGAACCGGTTCTAAAAAAGAACCGGTTCTCGATTCCCATCCCTGGTTGTGAGAGTACATACACAATTAGACACACTGGCAAATAAGCCTGTCACTAGTTAATTACCGTGGACGTATATGCAGTAACTGTCTTCTGCCCTGAACCTTCCCGAGCATGCAGAGCGTTGACAGAGCGAATGCGTTTCTGTGTGGGGAAGCTTCAACACTGTGCAGTCATGTTGCTTTGTAAATATTTGGGCAATTGGACCCTTATCTAATCCAAATGAGTTTGGTTACTTTTTCCTAAAGCTTGCAAGCGAAAATAAATATATTCTATCTATGTTTTTATTTGGCTTTTATTTAGACAGAAGGAGTATAGTCGTTAGCTTAAGGCTTCCTTTTCATCTGATCATCTATATTATTTTGTGTGACCCGCCTTTGTTTAAAAAAAAAAACCCCACTGCGTCCGGCAGTAAAGCCAACGCCACACGGACCTTGGTGTGGTCTGTGTCGGGTCTCTGTTCAGGTGCCTGGCGGTTCAGTACCATTTCAGAGACAAAGAGTGCGGTTTGAGTCTTATTTTGGTGGTAATTTGGCCCCGACTGAACCGGCTTTGGGTCACGGCCTCAGCACTGTGTCAGGAACGTGGCGTACGTTCTGCAGTTCACTGTGTTAGTTATGTGCGGTTGGTCTAGAAAGACATTGACACACTCTGCTGTACATCTCAGATTACCGTTTGAGCCCGCGACACCCAAACTGCAGAGTGGAGAGTTGTTAACTTGTAAAACAGGATTCCAGCCTGTTACATGGATGTTTTATATTGATGCTTTTGCATAGTGATCCATAGTTTGTGTGTGTGTGCGTGTTTATGAGAGCGCCACTCTCTACTCAAGTTAAATCAGGTCATTTTTGATTTTCTGTTGGAGCCGTTGGAACTGTTAGTGTGGATGTTTGCTTTGTTTCATATCACACCAAATCATTACACACAGAATTGACCCTTCCCCCCTTTTGGCAAAGGACACCTGAATGTCACCACAACATGAGACCCGTGTGTGTGCAACCCGTCATGGTTTCTCCTCTTGTTTTCTGATTTCATTAGGAATTACTTGTTGGAAACCTCTTTGGGGTGGGGGGGGGGGGGGGGGGGGGTGCATGTAGTTTCTGCGTTACTTTTGCCGTACTTGCAGAATGGGCTTTATTATGGTTAAAACATTCCCACCTTCCACCATATCTGTCAAGCATGCACGCGCACATATCACGTGTGCTACGTGGCTGCCTGTGTGTGCTGTGAATGACGGAACAATGGTGTGTATGTGTGTGGTTCACTTCACACTGGTTCTCTTTGTTTGTTTGTCCATCATAAGACCGCTGGCAGCAGCATCAGTAGCTCACTCGCTGTTGTACCAGGACTGAGGGGTAACCGGGGGACACGCACTTTGAACAGACGCACTGGATATGATTTGTCCTTCAAATATAGATGCTGTAAGATTAGTCTCCTCGTGTTACTACTTTTATCAAAGCTTATTTTTTAATGTGGATCAAAAAAGCGCAACAAGGAGATTGTTATGAAAAAAAACATGTTTAACTGACTAACCGTCTGATGTCTTCATTTCTTGTTGGGCGAGACCCTCCCACGTTAAAGCAAACATCTCAATTTGCACGCACTTCTTTTTAGCTGTAGCTGCAGGGAGTTTGGGAATGAAGGTGGGGTTTTCAGTAATATCATGTTGGGGTTTATGTGTGTTTGTGTTAAAGTGCAGGTCCCAGTGTGATTAGATGGTTTGAATCATTGCAAAGCAATCATCCCAAACACAAAGGGAGGCCAGTTCACCAGCGCTCCCCCGGCCATAGGAACATACTCCGTAGGAAGCACTATAAGTGAACTGCACCACCAAACAAAGAACTCGACTTGAGGAACTAATCCAATTTTTGAAAATCTATATTCCAACCCTTGAAGATAAATAGACTATGAGTGGATCGTAGGCCACTTACGTCAACGAAATTAAGCTCTTTACAGCCAGGTCTTGTCTTTCAGTCTTCTCCTTGTTTTCTTGTTTTTTATATTATGCATTCTAAATGAACTCGTCACATTAATTCTTCTCTTTCCAGAAGAAAGGTTTGAGATCCAAGGCTGACAATGTCCTTGTGTAATTCTTTTGTAGGAACCAAACACCCGGGGCGAAGAAAAACAAAAGCACCCATACTCCTTTTCTTTCTACCTTAGTCAGCAAGATCAAGGACATAACGTATCGACAATCCAACCATAATCTCAGAAAAAAAGTTCTCCCATGTATTAAAATACTCCTACACACCCAACAACTACCATCACACACACACGCGCGCAGAATTTCTGAGGTATACA